CCCCAAAACCCCAAAACCCCAAAACCCCAAAACCCCAAAACCCCAGAAGTAGAATTATTTATTGAAAATATTACTTACTATATAATAAAATGAACACTGCAAATCCTCTCAGGCTAGAAATAAACCAGGATATAGACCTTGAGCACCAACTGGAGTTTGAGTAAGGAAAGATCTGAAATTATAGAGATAAAATTAGAGCTAAACATCTTGCTAAGTCCTTCATAGAACAGAGACTAAACCACCTTAAGGTGCACTTGCTAAGTAATATTTATAGATTTTGAAATAATATTAGTAATTTCCCAAAGATCTCAACTGGCTGTTCCTCCAGAAAGAGAAAGAATAAGTAAGCATATATTAAGATGAACTAGAATTTTTATTGCTTAATATAGAAAAGAAAGAATCAGGATAATCAAGGACAGAGTAGACATGACTAAGTTACAAGTCACCAGCACTGCATTGCATATTAAAGTTGGCAATAAAAATAGACAGGTATTATCTATGGTTATTTGTAGAAGAAACCAATGACACAGACAGCTTGATGGTCTATCAATACGAGTCCTAGATTATCCAATACTTCTAACTCATGAATTACCAGAATTATTATTTCAAAGAAAGAAATTAAGTAAGTCATTTCAGGAATCTTCTAGGACTTTGAAAAATAACCAGACAAATAGTGAGGAAAAGATTCCTAAAATAGGAGTATCTTTTAAGAAAATTCCTGACAATAAAAAATCATCTCAGATAAAAATGATGACAAACACTTTTAAAGGTAACTCTAAAACTTGCAAGAAAATTAATTTTGGCAGAAAGAAATAGCAAAGAAAAAGAAGCTCACTTTGGAAAATACACTGTCTCGTCTGATCATACCATTAGCAGAAAGGCATCAGTACATAATCAAAGACCAAAGAAAATGTTTGACAATTCTTCTTTACTGAGTATTCCATTACTATAAACAATAGGCGATGATTTATTGCAAAAAAGGAAAACTATTAACCTAAAGGTACACCCTAACTCTCTTATCCACAGCTAAAAGGAGTCAGATTTCTTCAAAAATAGGGCTCAGATGCCATTTCTCACAGTCTCTCGGAACCACAAGCCCCAAAACCGCCGTAAAAAATCAGTAAATCCCCTATCTGACCCTTAGCCTATCCAAAACCTCCCTCAGTCCATTGCTATTCAGTCCTACTTCAAAGATATTCCTTTGACCAGTCTCAAGAAGAGAAGTTTCTTCCTGAACCAGGCCCCTCAGCCTACTTGTAACCTATCGATTACGAAGATTGAACCTTCAACTGCTCCGAGGAAGAAGAACAGGCATGCTAAGTCCTTTTTGGCTAAAGAGAATGTGACGCAAGAGGGGTTTGAGAATTTGGAGAGGAAGAGAATTTGGAGGAAGAAGGAGGCTGTGGTTTTACCGATAACCTAATTTCACTCACCCAACAAGCCAACTTAGGCCAAGTCGAGCCCAGAAGTCAGTGTCCGAGGAATTTTGTACTGGGTAGTAGCAAAGGGGTTTAGAGGGATGTTGGCACATAGAGATTTTAAGTGGGTGAAGCAAGGGATTTAGGGGAATTTAGGGAGAAGGGTAGTTTTGAGGGGGAAAAGTGGATTTTGGGGTTTTGGGGTTTTGGGGTTTTGGGG